ACTTATCATTTTCTTAAAATATTAGCGAATTGTGCGGCTAGCATGCTATTTCAATGTTTTTATGATTCTTAAAACTGCATTTCAAAATATTTCGAAAACGCTCTCATAGAATTTCTTCAAACTTTGCCATAATGGAGGCAATTATGGCAGGTACATACTCCCTTAAGCGATTTCTTCAAAAAACTCCTGGTACAGAGAAACACAAAGATAAATGAAAAACGTAATGGCGTCATAACGTTGCCATGGCGACTCCGATTGCAATAAAACCCAGATCATAAGAAATTTTCATCTTTATGTAATACAGTTGTGGTAACCTTTTTTCCATATCTTTACTCATGCCGACGTAGTTAAGTCTCAAAGTTGGGAGGTATCCCCCTAAAAAAATCCAGTCGAGCCACCTTAACTGACAGACGACCAATTACATCGCAACGTAATTGACCAATCAGATCAATAACCAGAGTATGATACCATCAACTGACGTGATACAACTCACCTTGACTCTGACGATGACTACCGCACAGGTTGTCGAAACGTCAGTCACTGTCAACAACAACAGTCCTATTCAGTACTACGTTCACCCGGACAATCAGACTCAACCTACTTTTGAACTTTCCTATTCCTACACATTACCCGCTGGAAATGCTAATAGATTCATGACGTCCTCATTAAAAGAAAATTTCTACAGTTCAATGGAAACCGCCTCCCCACAGTACCGCGATGAACACAAAGACAGCAGTTTCGTTTGGCAACATTTTCATGGCATATATTGAAACACGAATTCTAAGCAAAACCGTCTTTAAACCAACAGTTTGGAAACCACCATAGACGACAGGACAAATCAGACATCGCAGACGAGTTTCTTCGAACAAGCAAACTTACAGCACCCTTTAGTTTATTTTATTTTATTTCGCACACACAAGCAATTACAATACATTACATTTACAAATCATTACAGGGAACTGTTATCGTTTACAAAAAAGAAATAAAAAGACAAAGAAAGACAAAGTCCACAAAAATACTATAGTTTATATATTAACAATTAAGAGAAGGCTGCCTGCCTTATGGTCCTCCATCATCCATCTGCCCGTTTGTCACTTGTACTTTAATTAACTGTATTGGTCAAATTATATTCTGAGGGGAATTGTTTGAAAGTAGGCCATTTCTTCCTAAAAGAGGCTAAGTTATTATTATCAAACGGAATCTGTTTCTCAATTTCCATGTAGCGTATGACTAACTGAGTGTACACTTGTACTGTAGGAATAGTATTTCGTAGTTTGCAACTATATATATAGTGTCTAGCAATGAGGAGCACCCTACTATTAAATTCAAGGCCGAAATATCTGACACTGAGACTGTGTTTTTAGACACGGTTGTATATATAAAGGCACACTAGAAGATTCAACAAAAAGCTATCCTTGATGTGGAGACACATTTTAAACAAACGGAAACCTTCTATTACAGGCATTTCACTCCTTGTTACCCACTAAGTGTTAAAATGGATATGCCTTACAAACGCCTTTCAATTTCAAAAACGCTTGATGGACACAGGCTACCCACACAATTTGAAAGAAAAGCTACTGTTAGAAATTAACTCAAAGGAAGGATGCGATTCATGAATCAAAACAACAAGGAAGAAAAAGAACTTTTGCCTTTCGTGATAATACCAACCGTAAGCGTGTATTATAAATATAATTTATGTAAGGATTAACTAGTAATCGCTATTATTCCCTGTCCAACTCGGATTGGTCAATAATTATAAAATTCAGTCTTAGAAGCCCGAGAATCATATCTTGGTTAATACTATATTAATCGTTCCATTATTAACGAACACTCTCGTAAGAAGGCCAATTTCCGCCATTTGTGCTCTGTTGATTAACATGCACGAAAGAACTAATCGTTTAAAGTAGATGAAAACACGAGTCATAGATCGTGAACACAGGATATAGTCCCCAATGCCATAGCTATAAAAACAACCCCATTAACCCAAGCCAAAGAGAGGTGATATCAATTCCAGCTCAGCTTCAGACGCAGAGAGGTCATTTAGTCATGTGACTAGGCCATACATCAAGAAACTCTTGATCATACTTCCCTGGAGGCTTATGGACGGGTGATCTTTATTGCTTTCATAAGCATCGTTACCTGTCTACTTACAACTACTATGAATGCACTGATCATAATCGCTGTTAAGACCAAACATCGCTTAAAATCCTAGTCTATTAAAACATTGCACTTGCTTTATGTATTCAACTGATGGAATTGGGGGGAGGGGGGGTGCTTCAAAGCAGTTATCGTTAATTCCTGACGCCCTAAAAAGTAGTTTTTCCTGTCAAAATTAGTTTTTTAATCACCTTTTGTATCTTCAGCTTCAAAACAATTTTAAATGTTGGGATTTCTGTGCAAGAACCTAGTAGTTAACACAGGTAAAGGAGCTGATTCAACCAATAGTGTCACAGTATATCTTGAGAGGGCGGCATCATTAGCTTATATAGTCATCCCAAACACAATCAAAGAGTCAGTTTGAATCGCGACAAAAAAAAGCGCACAGTTTGATCGCGATAGAAATAATTAACTGCATTTGCTCTTTACAATTTATTAAATGGCTTATAATGACGACGTTGGAAGAAAATGTCGTACTTTGGGCTTCGTCCCTACGCGTCTCCTCTTCAAAGGAGGAGTACTACTCCGGGAGTTAAGCCTTGTATTTTGATTGGAAGTACGTTGATGTAAGCTTAACTTCTGATCTGTAAATTAATCAACTTTGATATAATTGCTTTTACTACTCTTGCTTCTGCATAACTAAATGAACTAACAATTATTTGTCTTATTTTTCCACTCGAATGGCCAAGCATTCGACTGAACACGTTAATTTCAGAAGCAATTATTTAATACAAAAAATGTATATATATATTAATTAAACGACGGTTAATCAAAAAGGAATTATAATATCGACAAACGTTAACGGTCCTTTTCCGTTAAGAAAAACGCAATCACTTAGTAATTCAATTACATCTGTTAACATGATTGATAATTTTAAGCTCAACTAGCCATTGATATTCCGTGAAAATCCAAAAACGAGGGGCTCCCAACGATGATTTCCTCCTGCATTTAAAACACTTTTTAGGCTATCCAGAGTACTTTTAGATCTCTAGAAATGCATTCTAAGCGGCGCTATAAAATTTGTATCTGTTCAGTCATGCTAGGGGAAATTGCATTGAGTCTTACCGAAATTACAAGGGCTTCAGTAATATTTTCAAGAAAATTTTAGATGCATATTGAAGTTTTACGAAAGTGAAAATTTTTCTGATTTCTCTCTCCACCTCATTTTCGAATCCGAAAATTTTAGGATTCCTTTTTCTACGAAGAAATAGCTTAATGTGGGAGAGAGAAAATTATACTTTAGAAAATCGTAGCGAATTCATTGGAAATTCTACGTCTAGTGGAACGGTTATCTAGAAATGTTTAGCCTTCCTCGAGATAGAGAAAATTCTAGGCAATTTTTACTTCTCCCAAAAGATATTTTACCGAAAACAGTTCTTGCGTGCCCCTGAAAAACGGCTATTACTTAACTTCCTGGATTAAACCACAAACCGACCTAGAATTAAAAAAACAGTTTCAAATTTCTTCGAAACCTCTTTTCAAGATTTACTTTAACAATTGATGTGTTTAATATTAGTTTGTTAAGTCCGCCTTGGAAAAGCCGACGGTTTTAATCTAAAATGTTGGTTCTGATTAATCCGTTCTAATTAATCAACTGGTGAATTTACCTTTAGAGGCCTTTAAAACCGTATTTTTGCTAATGGTGTGGAAATCCCCCATTCACATGCCAAATCCGGTTGCACAGTAAGTATATTTTCCCTCCATATATACTGTGTTCGTTATTATGCGAAAACTGCTGTAAAATATGAAACAGAGTTTTAGACCGCCAATTCAATAGATGGTCGTGCACGCAATACCCAGAAAGAAACCGACTTGTCTTCATCAAGTTGAGCCAAAGAGAAGATATGAATTCAACTGCAGCATCAGACTCGACGGGTACAGTTCCTGCATTTGATCTAGCGATTCTGCAAGAAACGCTTGATCATATAACCCGGGAGGCCTATGGATGGCTTGCCTTCATTACCGTCATCTGCATCGTTACCTGTCCACTTACAACTTCAATGAATGCACTGATCATAATCGCTGTAAAGACTAAAAACCAATTGAAAACCAAGTCTAACATTGCGCTCGCTTGTTTGTCGACTACTGATCTGGCAATGGGTGTGATTGGCAAACCTCTATATATCTCTGAGGTGATCGCCGAACTGCAAGGAAACACCTCCAGTACGTACTGTATAAGAACGCTGTTAGCGACAATCGTTTTAAGAGTGTTAGGTATAGCATCACTGTCTCACTTAGCCATGGTGAACCTAGAGAGGTATATTGCCATTAAACATGCCCTGCGGTACGAAACCATCGTCACTGAAAAGCGCCTCACTTGTTTGTCATCTCTCCTGTGGATTATATTATTGACAATAACTGTCTCTTTATCTTTCTTTGATGAAAACACTTATCTTAGGGTGGACACCATATTTATGTCTCTTTGCATAACCACTATCATCTTCTGTCAAGTTGTGCTTTACCATGAAACACGTCGGCATCAAAAAGAAATCGCTGCCGGGCAATTCTCCATGGAAGCCAGAGAAAAATTCTTAAGGGCGAAAAAAGCTTTTAAACTGACAACAATGATACTTTTCTCCTTGATATTGTGTTATTTACCTTTCATAGTAGCACAAATGCTAATATCAAAGTCTGTTATCAATTCGGTCAATTTAGTATACATAGCCCTATTTACAGGCAGAACAGTGGCACTTTTCAACTCGATGGTCAACCCGATCATTTACTGTGTACGAATTAGACAGTTTCGCGTTGCGTTTATTCAACTTTTGTTTAGAAAAAGCAGATTGAAAATGATTCACTGTTAAATTACTCTCATAATTAATATAGTTTACTCAGAGTAGTCGGGGCATCTTTTTCAATTTTCTAAATGTAATCAGCCTTAACAACGGCTATAATTACAAGAAACCGCTGGCGGATCCAGGATGGTGGATAGTTCTAGTTACTTCTTTAATGGTAAATGACGCGAGAATGCTATACTTCCCAAGTTTAAAGGTTTTAAATATGTAAGCCAACTTTATTATTTTATTAACTCCTAATGTTTGGCTTTTACGGCTACTATAAAAAAATGATGAGATTTGGGTACCGCTAATAAACTCGTCAAGATGATGTTCTAATGACCCCACATGAATGGTTTTTAAGTCACAAGAGATGGGGAGGGCGTGGCTACGAACCCGGTCTGAACAGGCAAGTGTACGCTCAATAGAGAGCGGCCACTCCAAAGTGGTTCGTAATAAAGTAGCTTTGTCTTTAGCTCAGACTTCACTTTGGTATAGAAACAAACACACCAAGGAAAAAGGAAAAGAGTTCCTTATACAAAAACAGTCGTCATCTTCTTCTTCGGACTGTATTGTTATTGGCTATGAAGACTCGTAATCAGTAATTGGTGCGTTTCGATCCGTCTATTGTCACAGTTAAACAGTCGTCTATTGTTAGTCAAATTGTCAGTTCTCCAGTCGTTCTCTCGTAGTTAGTTTTGCTTTTCTGTTAACATGATTGATAATTTTAAGCTCAACTAGCCATTGATATTCCGTGAAAATCCAAAAACGAGGGGCTCCCAACGATGATTTCCTCCTGCATTTAAAACACTTTTTAGGCTATCCAGAGTACTTTTAGATCTCTAGAAATGCATTCTAAGCGGCGCTATAAAATTTGTATCTGTTCAGTCATGCTAGGGGAAATTGCATTGAGTCTTACCGAAATTACAAGGGCTTCAGTAATATTTTCAAGAAAATTTTAGATGCATATTGAAGTTTTACGAAAGTGAAAATTTTTCTGATTTCTCTCTCCACCTCATTTTCGAATCCGAAAATTTTAGGATTCCTTTTTCTACGAAGAAATAGCTTAATGTGGGAGAGAGAAAATTATACTTTAGAAAATCGTAGCGAATTCATTGGAAATTCTACGTCTAGTGGAACGGTTATCTAGAAATGTTTAGCCTTCCTCGAGATAGAGAAAATTCTAGGCAATTTTTACTTCTCCCAAAAGATATTTTACCGAAAACAGTTCTTGCGTGCCCCTGAAAAACGGCTATTACTTAACTTCCTGGATTAAACCACAAACCGACCTAGAATTAAAAAAACAGTTTCAAATTTCTTCGAAACCTCTTTTCAAGATTTACTTTAACAATTGATGTGTTTAATATTAGTTTGTTAAGTCCGCCTTGGAAAAGCCGACGGTTTTAATCTAAAATGTTGGTTCTGATTAATCCGTTCTAATTAATCAACTGGTGAATTTACCTTTAGAGGCCTTTAAAACCGTATTTTTGCTAATGGTGTGGAAATCCCCCATTCACATGCCAAATCCGGTTGCACAGTAAGTATATTTTCCCTCCATATATACTGTGTTCGTTATTATGCGAAAACTGCTGTAAAATATGAAACAGAGTTTTAGACCGCCAATTCAATAGATGGTCGTGCACGCAATACCCAGAAAGAAACTGACTTGTCTTCATCAAGTTGAGCCAAAGAGAAGATATGAATTCAACTGCAGCATCAGACTCGACGGGTACAGTTCCTGCATTTGATCTAGCGATTCTGCAAGAAACGCTTGATCATATAACCCGGGAGGCCTATGGATGGCTTGCCTTCATTACCGTCATCTGCATCGTTACCTGTCCACTTACAACTTCAATGAATGCACTGATCATAATCGCTGTAAAGACTAAAAACCAATTGAAAACCAAGTCTAACATTGCGCTCGCTTGTTTGTCGACTACTGATCTGGCAATGGGTGTGATTGGCAAACCTCTATATATCTCTGAGGTGATCGCCGAACTGCAAGGAAACACCTCCAGTACGTACTGTATAAGAACGCTGTTAGCGACAATCGTTTTAAGAGTGTTAGGTATAGCATCACTGTCTCACTTAGCCATGGTGAACCTAGAGAGGTATATTGCCATTAAACATGCCCTGCGGTACGAAACCATCGTCACTGAAAAGCGCCTCACTTGTTTGTCATCTCTCCTGTGGATTATATTATTGACAATAACTGTCTCTTTATCTTTCTTTGATGAAAACACTTATCTTAGGGTGGACACCATATTTATGTCTCTTTGCATAACCACTATCATCTTCTGTCAAGTTGTGCTTTACCATGAAACACGTCGGCATCAAAAAGAAATCGCTGCCGGGCAATTCTCCATGGAAGCCAGAGAAAAATTCTTAAGGGCGAAAAAAGCTTTTAAACTGACAACAATGATACTTTTCTCCTTGATATTGTGTTATTTACCTTTCATAGTAGCACAAATGCTAATATCAAAGTCTGTTATCAATTCGGTCAATTTAGTATACATAGCCCTATTTACAGGCAGAACAGTGGCACTTTTCAACTCGATGGTCAACCCGATCATTTACTGTGTACGAATTAGACAGTTTCGCGTTGCGTTTATTCAACTTTTGTTTAGAAAAAGCAGATTGAAAATGATTCACTGTTAAATTACTCTCATAATTAATATAGTTTACTCAGAGTAGTCGGGGCATCTTTTTCAATTTTCTAAATGTAATCAGCCTTAACAACGGCTATAATTACAAGAAACCGCTGGCGGATCCAGGATGGTGGATAGTTCTAGTTACTTCTTTAATGGTAAATGACGCGAGAATGCTATACTTCCCAAGTTTAAAGGTTTTAAATATGTAAGCCAACTTTATTATTTTATTAACTCCTAATGTTTGGCTTTTACGGCTACTATAAAAAAATGATGAGATTTGGGTACCGCTAATAAACTCGTCAAGATGATGTTCTAATGACCCCACATGAATGGTTTTTAAGTCACAAGAGATGGGGAGGGCGTGGCTACGAACCCGGTCTGAACAGGCAAGTGTACGCTCAATAGAGAGCGGCCACTCCAAAGTGGTTCGTAATAAAGTAGCTTTGTCTTTAGCTCAGACTTCACTTTGGTATAGAAACAAACACACCAAGGAAAAAGGAAAAGAGTTCCTTATACAAAAACAGTCGTCATCTTCTTCTTCGGACTGTATTGTTATTGGCTATGAAGACTCGTAATCAGTAATTGGTGCGTTTCGATCCGTCTATTGTCACAGTTAAACAGTCGTCTATTGTTAGTCAAATTGTCAGTTCTCCAGTCGTTCTCTCGTAGTTAGTTTTGCTTGATCTCGTCAATAAGTCGTTTGTACGGCGCTGGTAACTGTTGGCTACGATTCAGTGGCGTTTGTTCTAGGTTAGTAAACCAGCTTTCTAAAGTAAGACGTTCATTGTAGTCTATGTAGAATACGTTATACATGTCGCAGAGTCCCAGTCAATTTGATGTTTCGTCTGTAAATGGTGCTCAGCAATGTGATTGTTGACGTCACCATTCCTCGTCACTCGTTTGTGTTCGGTCAGACGCGTGCTTAGGTTTGTGCCTGTTTCACCAATGTAAGAAGCCTGGAAGTCGCAGCATTTGATCTTGTATACTGCTCCCTGTCTGTCCTCTGGTTTGTCTTTGTCCTTGACATAAGTAAGCAGTCGCCGAAAAGTGGTTATCGGTTTGTGTGCAACACGTATATTGTAAGGTTGTAATATACGTGCAATAGGTTCAGAGGTGCCTCTGATGTACGGTATAGTTGCTGTCGTAACAGGGCCAGAGTTGGTCTGAGTGTTGGAATCGGTGTTACTGTGAGTGGTCCGTTTAACAAAGTCCTTGTTGTAATTGTTTTTACTAAAAACGTTGTTAAGATAATCAGTCTCGTCTTGAAGGCTGTCAAGTGAGTCGCAATCTAGTTACACTCGTCTCGTCAAAGTCCGGATAGTAGTAGCCTTGTGAGAGGTCGGGTTGTACGAAGAGTGGTCTAGTAATCGGTCGGTATGTGTCGGTTTTCCGTAAATTGTCGAGTTTTAGTTTGTTGTTATCGCGAGTGACCAAGCAGTCTAGAAAAGGTATCTTATCATTTTCTTCGATCTCCTTGGTGAACTGTATGTCTGTGTTCTGTCTGTTAAGGGGTTCGTGAGAATCGTCGATCCCGTCTTTGTGTACGGCGGCGAATGTGTCGTCAACGTAACGTAACCAAAGAGGTACAGTTCGCGTGTAGGTAGCTACGGCTTGTTCCTCGATGTTTTGCGTGACAATTTCTGCTACAACAACAGAAACTGGAGAGCCCATAGCTGTACCCTGTAACTTTTTGTAGTGTTTGCCGTTGTACTGAAAATACGTCGAAGTCAAAAACAGGTTGAGTAGGTCCATAATGTCGTCTGTAGGTAGTACAGACGTACACAAAGACGGAATCGAGGATTTTCACGAACACCTCAACAGACACAACGCGGACTGCGCTTGCCGCATTTGCAGATGCTGAACTTGAATTCATACCTTCTTTTTGGCTTACCTTTCATAAAGATGTTTCTGTAGCCTAGGCAGGACTATCTCGTTTTGTTGGGGTGACGATCTGTGACTCACTTTTATCTATTTTAAAGGATTACTTTTTTTCGTGCATGTTAACCAATAGTCAAGAGCTAAAATGTCGGAAATGGTCTTCTTAAGAAGGAATTTACCCTTAGTGGAAAGATTTCCTCAGTATTAACAGAAAGATGATTTTAATGGCATCAATCAAGTTGGACAAAAAATGTAGGAAATGGTCCTCTTAAGAACGAATTTAACTTTAGTGGAAAGATTTCCTCAGTATTAAGAGAAAGATGAATTTAATGGTATCAATCAAGATGGACAAAAAGTGTAGGAAATGGTCTTCTTAAGAAGGAATTTAACTTTAGTGGAAAGATTTCCTCAGTATTAACAGAAAGATGATTTTAATGGCATCAATCAAGTTGGACAAAAAATACAGGCCGGGAATATTTTTAATTAAAAAGCGTCCTTGATCCCAACGAGAACGAACCAGCTGGTATATTTAATGTTTTAATTCCGATCTAAATGACTCAAGAAGACATTAGGGATATTTAACAACCACGACGGCAACAAACCTCTCCCATTTTTATTTTGCTTGATGGAAGATCTAGCAAATGTTATAAAAAGTAGGTGGGTTTTCTTAGCTTACTTGCTGGCTCTTTGCTGCTCTTCCCTGTCAGTGACCCCTTATCTAACTTGATTGATTATTTGTACTTTTAGGTACTATTAATTAAATATTATTGTTAAAATTATGGAAATCTTCACTTCATAATTCTAACTAATTTTAAAACTAGTGAGATCAATCAAGACGTTTTCTGACAAAACATTTATTTTTAACGATGTGGTCCGTATTGTATGTGTAATCTTTATATTATACAATCAAACAAGTCTTCGGGAAAACGATACTTTGAAACTACTCTTAACGTGTTTCACTGATTCGTTAAAACAAATTCATGCAATTACCGAATTATCGAGTAGAATTTCAATGTGTATCGTAATCATTTGCAAGACAGTGTCAATTCTATACAAATAAAAAAACGCTNCGAATTTAACTTTAGTGGAAAGATTTCCTCAGTATTAAGAGAAAGATGAATTTAATGGTATCAATCAAGATGGACAAAAAGTGTAGGAAATGGTCTTCTTAAGAAGGAATTTAACTTTAGTGGAAAGATTTCCTCAGTATTAACAGAAAGATGATTTTAATGGCATCAATCAAGTTGGACAAAAAATACAGGCCGGGAATATTTTTAATTAAAAAGCGTCCTTGATCCCAACGAGAACGAACCAGCTGGTATATTTAATGTTTTAATTCCGATCTAAATGACTCAAGAAGACATTAGGGATATTTAACAACCACGACGGCAACAAACCTCTCCCATTTTTATTTTGCTTGATGGAAGATCTAGCAAATGTTATAAAAAGTAGGTGGGTTTTCTTAGCTTACTTGCTGGCTCTTTGCTGCTCTTCCCTGTCAGTGACCCCTTATCTAACTTGATTGATTATTTGTACTTTTAGGTACTATTAATTAAATATTATTGTTAAAATTATGGAAATCTTCACTTCATAATTCTAACTAATTTTAAAACTAGTGAGATCAATCAAGACGTTTTCTGACAAAACATTTATTTTTAACGATGTGGTCCGTATTGTATGTGTAATCTTTATATTATACAATCAAACAAGTCTTCGGGAAAACGATACTTTGAAACTACTCTTAACGTGTTTCACTGATTCGTTAAAACAAATTCATGCAATTACCGAATTATCGAGTAGAATTTCAATGTGTATCGTAATCATTTGCAAGACAGTGTCAATTCTATACAAATAAAAAAACGCTTAATTAAAGATCTAAGAGCGCTTTCTGAGAGATTAAAAAAAAGTTGCTGTCACTAAAAAAGAAAGGACACTTGACGCTTCAATTTCCACAAAGCTCATTTCAAGCTTCACTTTGATAATAATATATTCATTAAGGCGTGGGAATTAACGACACTTAGTTAATTTGAAAATTTCGCTTTGCTCAATGACTCGAGCATGCAAGGGAAAAAAAAAAGTTCGAGTTATCGAGAGTTCGAAGAAAATATCTGAAAATAAGAAAATGGAATGGGAAAGGAATGCAAGCAGCATGCCGCTCCCTTAAGAACAGCAAGAAATATATTGATATTTCTAGATAAAAAAAACAAAACAAACAACAACAACAAAGCTAGAATACACGGTCGCTTTGAAAGAGATTCAGTGTTTTAGACTGCAGTACCTTAGAATACACGGTCGCTTTGAAACAAATTCAGTGTTTTAGACTGCAGTACCTTAGTTACGTTTTTATTTATTTTTGTTTTAACTTGTTACACCCTTAAAAACATGATGATCTAAAGGGAAACAAAAATTACTTCCAGTTACCGAGGATAATTGCAGTACATTTTTAAGAAGGAAATCCAGGGAAAACCGATTTTGGTTCGACTTAGCGCGAGTTTGAGTCATCGGGTCAACTATCATTCCTGTCCAACTCGATTAACTAATTTTAGCTTTAACATGATTGACGTTAACATGATTGATAATTTTAAGCTCAACTAAGCCATTGATATTCTGTGAAACTCCAAAAACGTCCTGGATTAAACTAACAAGAACCGACGTAGAGCTACCAAAAAAAAGCCTTCGAAAGCTCTTTTCAAGAATTGCTATGATGCATTTAATACCAGTCTGTTCAGTGGGCCTTAGCAAAAGCCGACGGTTTTAATCTAAATAAATAGCAAATCCGGTTATATTGTGTTCGTTATTATGTTAAAAACTGCTGAAAAACGGTTATATTGTGTTCGTTATTATGTCAAAAACTGCTGAAAAACAGATAAAGGAGAGTTTTAGACCGCCAGTTCAATAGATGGTCGTGCACTGACTTGACTTCATCGAGCTGAGCCAAAGAGAAATCATGAATTCAACTGCAGCATCAGACTCGACGGGGACAGTTCCTGAATGCGATCCAGCGATTCTGCAAGGAACGCTTGATCATACAAGCCAGGAGGCTAATGGATGGCTTGTCCTCATTACCGTCATCTGCATCGTTACCTGTCCACTTACAACTGCAATGAATGCACTAATCATTATCGCTGTAAAGACTAAAAACCAATTGAAAACCAAGTCTAACATTGCGCTCGCTTGTTTGTCGACTACTGATCTGGCAATGGGTGTGATTGGCAAACCTCTATATATCTCTGAGGTGATCGCCGAACTGCAAGGAAACACTTCCAGTACGTACTGTATAAGAACGCTGTTAGCGACAATCGTCTTAAGAGTGTTAGGTATATATAGCATCACTGTCTCACTTAGCCATGGTGAACCTAGAGAGGTACATTGCTATCAAACATGCTCTGCGGTACGAAACCATCGTCACTGAAAAACGCCTCACTTGTTTGTCATCTCTCCTGTGGATTATGTTATTGCCAATAACTGTCTCTTTAAACTGACAACAATGATACTTTTCTCCTTGATATTTTGTTATTTACCTTTCATAGTAGCACGAATACTAATATCATAGTCTGTCATCAATTCAGTCAATTCGGCATACATAGCCCTATTTACAGGCAGAACAGTGGCAATTTTCAACTCGATGGTCAACCCGATCATTTACTGTGTACGAATTAGACAGTTTCGCGTTGCGTTCATTCAACTTTTGTTTAGAAAAAGCAGCACGGAAGCTTAAAACATCGAGAAACGAGGTTTTGGAAAATTAAACAAGGGGCCGGGTCCCTTGAATGGCAAAAACAGAGTGCAAACTTACCAAGGAATAATTAGTGGAATTTAACTCATTGTCTTCTAAAATTGATGCGAAGCTGACACAGGTGTAGATATAAACAAATGATAGATTTGCGGTGTTCTGAGAATTCAATTGTACAGATATAGTTGATCGCCACTTTTTTGTGAATAGTTGCCTGCTCTCGATAGCGATCTTCGATATATATCAAAACATCGTGTATTATATAAATCATTGTGAAAACGATTCACTCTTAAATTAATCTCATAATATAGTTTACTCAGAGTTGGGGCATCTTTTCCAGTTTTTTAAATGTAATCAGCCTGAACGACCCTAATTACAAGAAAACGCTGCCAGATCCAAGATGGTGGATAGTTCCAGTTCCTTCTTTAATAGTAAATGACGCGAGAATGACATAACTCTTAAGTTTAAAGGTTTTAAAGTGTAAGCCAGCTTTATGTTTTTATCAAACACCTTATTATTAGCTTTACGGCTTCTGTAAAAAAGGGTACCGCTAACAAACTCATTAACCTCACAATCTTTTGCATTCCATTGTGTAAATCATCCCAAGATGTTGGACGTGGTTTTGACATTATTCTGTGCAATTTTGGCGGCCGTATCACGAATGGTTAGTAAGTAACAGGCGATGGGGAGGGCAAGGCTACAGGCAATTCTACGCTCAATAGCGAGTGGCCTCGCAAAAGAGGTTCGTCATAAAGTAGCTTTGTCTTTAGCCCAAATATCACCAAGCGAGCAAGTTACTTATACAAAAACAGTCGTCATCTTCTACTTCGGACAGCCTTTACCTTCCTCACATTCTTCAATTGCTGCAAAATAAATTAAAAGCGCATGAAGTGCTTGATGGCTGCTTAATATGTTAAGAGATGACAACAAATGAAAACTTGATCTCTCGTCGGGATGATCAAAATTGGCCGCAGCCGCTTGTTGAAGGTGGCCCCTCAAAAGAGGTTAAATTTGAAATAATTTTTTCAATCTATTGCAGGACTTACTGGCCACTTAATACGGCTTGCCGCCCTATGGATCAGTTCAACTGGCATAGCTGTGTAAAAAGTGTAAAAAGAAACAGAAAGTTTAGGGATTTTTTTTGAATTCAGATTCTCTTAAGATAAAGCAGTACGCAACTTGAAAACACTGAAAAATGAACGTTATAAATGGATCAAAGAGAAGAAAAACCCTCAAAGGTTAATTTATACTTTAAGCTCAGTTGTCGTATACAATATTAAAGCGAAACTTTTGTGCGCGAATACAAGAACGTCAGATATGTTTGCAGTGTGCGTTTTGTGTAGTTTCTTTTAAATTTTATAATTATAGTTTTTATCTTTAAGAATTGTAAAGGATTATTTATTTATTTATATTTATTTATTTCTTGCATTCTCTTTAATTTTCCTTTTTTTATCAGCAAATGCACGCTTTTGAGAGGGTGTGAATGGGGTTACCGACTACCGACAGGAAAAATATCAACCGACTACCCACATGAACCGACATTATCGATATTTCTTTTCATAAAGAAGAGCGCTTTGTATTTTTTCTAGCTTAGGAAGTAATTAAACCACATTAAATTTATGACTTATCAGATTGGCCAAAGGAAAGAATTTCCTCCTTCGTTGATACGTTTACATCAGTTACTACAATCAATATCAAAATCACGGAATTCATACCTTAAAGATCGATTCTACCGACTTTATAAATTATATTTTTTTTAAAAAAAAAAGGTGAAAATCGAACATTTCTTGTTTCGGTTGACCGGTCACAACTCTTGGCATCAACGAGGGTATTTAAATAGTTTGCAGAAGGTATTAAAATTTCTACAAATTAAAGACAACTCTCCTATTCCTACACATTACCCGCTGGAAATGCTAATAGATTAATTCTCATTAAAAGAAAATTTTCTACAGTTAAATGGAAACCGCCTCCCCACAGTACCGCGATGAGCACAAAGACAGCAGTTTCCTTTGCCAACATTTACATGGCATATATTGAAACACAAATTCTAAGCAAAACCGTCTTTAAACCAACAGTTTGGAAACCACCGTAGACGACAGGACAAATCAGACATCGCAGCCGAGTTTCTTCGAACAAGTAAACTTACAGCACCCTACTCTTAAATTCAAGGCCGAAATATCTTAGACTGAGACTGTGTTTTTAGCCACGGTTGTATATATAAAGGCACACTAGAAGATTCAACAAAAAGCTATCCTTGATGTGGAGACACATTTTAAACAAACGGAAACCTTCCATTACAGGCATTTCACCCCTTGTCACCCACTAAGTGTTAAAATGGATTTGCCTTACAAACGCCTTTCAATTTCAAAAACGCTTGATGGACAGAGGCTACCCACACAATTTGAAAGAAAAGGTGCTGTCAGAAATAAACTCAAAGGAAGGACGCGTTCCTGAAACAAAACAACAAAAAGGAAGAAAAAGAACTTTTGCCTTTCGTGACAATACCAACCTTAAGTGTCTACTATAAAAGAAGCATTAATGAAAAAGTGTTGTAACCAACCACCTTCGCCAAATTTTAAACAACCACCTATTATTTTTTTGCAGCAAATAAGGAAAATCATTAAAGGGCAATCCCCATGCTCGTTAAAGCCAAAATATTAACGGTCAACACGGTTTCACGCCGGTATAGATGTGCGGCCTGTCACTCCTTGCAGTTTTTCGCAAAAATAATTTACGTATCCAAAAGGCTAGAGTGGGCGTTTCCTCTGTGTCCAGTCAACCTCTCTTGGTTACTTTTTATTGTGTCCTGCAATCAACAGGGAAACCAAGTTCGCATCAGTTTAGAATGAAAGCTTTGGTGATTTTATCGGTACTATATTGGCAAACTCAGAGATGCACTTCTTGCAAGTTTTATACATTTTTTAGGGATCATAGTCTTGAAACTGGATGAAATACATAACAACTAGTAATAATTAACATACACTTTTACATATTAACTGAGATTTACCGACATCTGTCAAAGATCGAAAATTTTAACCGACCACATAAAAAATAATAAATAAATAAAAATATGTAAAAAACGTTATTCCTCCGAAACTATTGTTGCTTTCTTCCGTTTAAATAGTGAATATGGTCAAATTGGAGATAATAATGAATGTCATGAATTTTCATCTTCTTTTAGCAAACTGAAAAAAAAATAGATTCTTAAAGTGACATTGACATTGTCATTTATAGTAATGCATTATCAAGATGAACAATTATTGCCTCTGAACTCTTTAGCAGTTGGAAAATTTTGAGTGGTATAAGTTGTGCAAATCTAACGACTGATGTACTGAACTGAATCGCCTAATTATATAATTAGGCCATTCATCAGAGCACCTGAGATGATCGAACCGTGCGTCCCAATGTAAAACGAAAATTAAAGTCTTTGCTTAGTTAACACTGAGAAAAATCGCTAACTTTTTAGCTGTATGACGATGATGAGCTGGTCGTGTGCCTATAGTTATCTATCGCACTCGCGTTCATCGAACTTAACAAAAATTAAAGGAAATTCATCAAAGTATTAAGGATATCTCCCGTTGACATATTTAAATGAGTTAAATTTGTGTCATTTGCCAAGTTAACATTAGAATCGAAAAATAATTCAGCCGATGTTTCCGATGTGCGCTCTCTACCGCCGTTGTAAAGTTAATATAATAAACATAAATAGCGCCCCATTTATTAACTGTTCATTATGGCCCATGCATCTCTCGGAGACAAACTTTTTTATTTATAATCAGTTTTCAAAATCTTTACTTGGAGCACTAATATTGGGCGGGAAAGATATTTACGTTATTTTCTATTTATTTATTTATTTCTTATTATTATTATTATTATTATTATTATTATTATTATTATTATTATTATTTAACGACATTCATCGACAAGATCTGCAATAATGTCGAAATCGAACCACGCCTTCAACCCCTGGACAACGAGCGATTTCATTTGAGGAGCGCTGTTACAAGTTCTGAGGCAAGGTTGGACATCAAAGCGGGAGGTTTCTGGGCAAGAGGAGTTACGGCATTTTTTGATGTTAGAGTTACGCACGTCAACTCCAAGTGTTACCAGAGCAAGCCAACATCGGAAGTGTTCAAAGAGCAACAAGAAGAGAAGAAGCGCAAGTACCAGCAGCGGGTGTTAGTTGTAGAAATGGGTTCGTTTACGCCTTTAGTGTTTGGAACCAATGGCGGAATGGGAAACGAGTGTCAGCGGTTCTTAAAGCATCTCGCAGACAAGATAGCTCAGAAAGACACCGAGCCTTATCATGTTGTAATCACTTGGCTCAGGACACAGATCTCGTTTGAACTCTTAAGATCGGTACATGCATGCGTCAGAGGTTCGCGAACGCCGTTTCGTAGCAAGCTAGAGCAATCATTAGACTGTAAAATAAATGTCGCTAGTGCGGATATCTGAAATACGTGTCTATATGCTTTTATACTTAGGGCTTTTTATGGACACTGGTTTAGCCGTCATTAGTATAATTCGATTGCAGGATCTTAATATCTCTGCATAATGGAATTCTTAATTTTATAGAATTTTGAACTTTTATTAGTAATTATATCTATTTCCTTTTCTTTTATGTAAGGTTAAGTTACTTCTATTTTTTAGAATTTGTAAATGAATAGTTTTTTCTATCTTCACTTATAATATATAGGATTGTTTTTGTTCTCTAATGAAGGACGAGGTGTTTCTTTTGTAACGGATGGAATTGTAGATAGTGTTTTGATTAATTAATTAGATTTTTTTGTAACAGCAGGTTAATTGTAAATAGGATTTTAATTGAGGTTTTGTAATAAAGATTCTTTTCACTTATTATTATTATTATTATTATTATTATTATTATTATTATTATTATTATTATTATTTTCACTTTTTTTTGTCCGCGAGTAATGTAATGGAAAATCCTTATGACCATAGCGACCATTACGGAAAACCTATAACATAATTAACAGTCGAGTAGTTTGTTAATATTTTCTAGAAATGCCTCGTTGCTTACCTAATTGAATCAATATGCTAATTGATCAATTTCCTGATACGCTGCTATTAAATTTAATGAAAGTCGGATAATTACCAACATTTCTTAATTGTGTGATTCCATTTAGTTCTCAGCTCGCATTCAACGATGGTGACTTTTAGCTTAAGATGCCCTTATGAAAAAAAAATTCAAGAAGACCGCCTTTTATATAGAGTGCCTTTGATCATGAAGGATATACATTAGTATTTGTCAGCTGCAATACAGAGACAAATTCACTGACTATCTTAAAAGACTATATAATTTAAAGTTCAACTTGGTAAAAACAGTTTGAGCAGTCCTTCGAGCAAAAAGTGCCGGAGTGTAGTTGGTAGCCGCGAGCCGTTGGTCGTCACACCAGAAGTCCGTGCCGTAGCCAGCTACAAATACATCTTTATCTAAGCAAGCCAAAAAGAAGATATGAATTCAACTGCAGTCCCATACACAAAGAGGATACCTCTTGGATGTGTTCCACCGATTTCGCAGGGAACCCTTGATGAAACTAGTTCGGAAGCTTATGGATGGCTTGTCTTTATTGCAGTCATCAGCATCATTACTTGTCCATTCACAGCTGTTATGAATGCACTGGTCATACTCGCTGTTAAGACTATACACCGATTGAAAACCAAGACAAACATGGCACTCGCTTGCTTGTCGACTACTGATTTGGTAATGGAAGTGATCGGTCAACCTGCTTTCATCTTTTGGGTGATCGCACAAATGCAGGGAAGCACGTCCGCTACGTACTGTATAAGAACACTGTTATCAACGATCCTTTTGAGGATGTTGGGTTTTGCGTCGCTGTCTCACTTGGCCATGATCAACGTGGAGAGGTTCATTGCTATCAAACATCCCCTGAGTTACGAGACTATCGTCACCAAGAATCGCCTTGTATGTTTGTCTGCACTTCTGTGGATGCTAGTGATATCTTTAACAGTACCTTTTCCTTTTGTTGATAATAAGGAGATTTTCTTGATAGCTGACATTCATGTAATATCGTTATGCCTAACCACAGTTTTCTTTTGTCAAGTCGTGCTTTTCTACGAAACACGTCGGCATGAAAAACGAATAGCTACCCAACAAGTCTCTTTGGAAGCCAGAGAGAAGTTTTTGAAGGAGAAAAAAGCCTTTAAAGTGACAGCAACGGTACTGTTCTTTCTAATATTGTGCTTTTTGCCTTTAATGTTCGCATATCTAATACGAGCATCAAATTCTATAACAACTTCAGTTGATTTAAAATACGTCGCTCTCTCTACAGGCCTTACTTCGGCAGTTTTGAATTCGATGGTTAACCCAATTATTTATTGTGTAAGAATCAGACAGTTTCGTGTTGCGTTTATTCAGCTTATCTTTCAAAAAAGCAGCGCGGGAGCTGAAAACATGGAAAAGCGAGTTTTTTGGAAGACGAAACCGCGCCGTGGTGCCGCATCAGGAAGGGTCCCAAGAACAGTAAGACAGTGAGCAAACCTACTAAGGGATTACTCGGATTAGAGTTTCAATTTCGTTTCATTTTATTCTAAAATTGAAGCAAAGCTGACACAGGCAAACATATACAATGACATGATAAATTTGCGGCGTTCAGGGTAATTAATTTCAGTTTTTCAAGTAAATTTGATTGCTGACTTGAGCTGTAGAGGCATTAAATGCACGCGATAGCAATCTTTAATTAATATATTAAAACATCGTAAATATATCTTAAACATATATACTTTATTTACACACATCGTTTTGCCATCTCCGCCCGCAAATAGCAAGGGCTAGACGAGGCGGGCAGAGCCAGAAAGGTTACAGCAGTCATATAAATATCGAATTAAAAGAAGCTATGAAGATTATATTAAAGAAAAGTAAATAAATTATGCAAATAGATGAGAATTACAACAAAAAGACAACAACAACAACAAGCTAGAGTTACAAAAATGGTCTACAAGACAAATTTGCTAAAGAACCTATAAATTATTAGTGCCTTAAGTCGTGGCTGCAGATTTTGACGACATTCGTTGGGAATTGCGTTCCAAAGTTTAGCTCCAGAACTGGATGAAGAACCTTGATTTTGATTCAGTCTGGAAGTTTGGACATAATAATTTCCAGACGAAGAAAACCTTGTCTCATGCTTGTGCTCTGAATTAGCTTTAGTAAAGAGATCACAGATGTTAGACGGAGCATTCAAACAGGAGACGTCAAACATTATAGAAAACACTTTTTCAGCATGTAACATTTTGTAAGGGTAGAATTTTTGAGGAATAAAATGGCACTGCTAGTGCTCTGGGTTCAGAAAAATACATCAAACGCCGGAAGGACTCGTTTTGACAGCACGAAAATTTTTCTTTTGTACATGGGTTTTGGCAGCTTGACCCCAATCCACCAAATCGTATGTCAGATAAGGCAATATCAAAGATTGATAAATATTTAACAGGGTAGTGCGTGGGACGAAGTGCCTAAGACGGGCAACAACACCAGCAGTTCTGCTTACTTTTAATGCAACATTATTAAAATGAAATTTCCAGCTTAAATTTCTGTCCAATAGGACACCGAGATATTTAACATTGTATTCACACTCAAGGGCAGTAGGAATTTGGGTACAGTTATCAATCTTTTCAATGTTAACCTAGTAGTTCAACTTACGTATATGGACGAAAGATAACATAGTTTGACTTTTTAGCACTGAGCGGTAAAAGAATTTGCATTAAGCCAGTAGGAGACTTTGAGCAGTTCTCTATTGACGGTTTTTTTAAGAGGTTTTAAATTAGTGTCACCATACAGCAAAGAGAAAGAATGAGAATTTCGCTGAAGAGTTATGGATATCGTTAATATAGATCAAGAATAACAGAGGACCAAGTACAGACCCCTGTGGGACACCACATGAAGTCATACATTCGGTAGATAAGATAAAACCTACTTCGGTTACTTGTGAACGACCAAGACGGTACGAGGCAAACCAGCAATTGATAATTCCTCTGATGCCATAACGATTCAGTTTTTGACGCAAGATCAAGGTCGACGGTATCAAAGGCCTTTTTTAAGTCTAAGAAGATCCCGCAAGTGAAAAGTTTTTGGTCCACATTGTTTTGTATGACATTAACAATGTCAATAATGGCATGTTGGGTGGAATGTTTTTCGCAGAGGCCATACTGCGACTTAAATAGAATATCGTTTTTACCAAAAAAGGGTTTGAGGCGGTGGTACATTAATTTTTCAAATATCCGATTGAAAATAGACAGTTATGGTTTCGAACGATAATTACCGCGCTCAGTCTCATCGTGTAGTCTAAAATGTAAATAAAAAACGTTCATTACTAAAGTTATCTCATATACCTTACTCGGTAAAAGAGGAGAGAAAGTAATAATAATAAAATAAGGAGTACCATAGACTCTCCATTAGCTGCTAAAAATACTATCATTAATGCTCAAAAGAGAACGCGGGCTAATTACTTTATTTTCGACGCAATTTACATTGGGGACAAAATTATTGCAAAGGTAGATCAACTCCGTAGCATGAATGAAAAAATCAAGTCGTCTAGGGCATTATAAATTCTGCATCCGAAGAAGAGTATACTAAGAGATGCTTTCAGACAGGATCAATGCCTTTCTACTCAGAACAGCCGTAGGAAATTGTAGACTAGTCCAATTTGTGTCCTTTAATTCAATTCTTTTTCAAACACACTCAGTAGTAAGAGAGGGAGAATCATAACAAAGTCTTGCCTTTTAACACTTGTTATCCCTGAATTAAAGGTTATGTATCAGTCACCGCCTTCCATTCACCATTCACTGAAATTAAACTTTTACGTATGTAGATAAAGAGAGGGAGCATTCAGTAACACACTTCATACTAATATATAGATTTAGCCAAGCCTAAAAGCGGAGCTCCCGATTTCATTACAATAATAATAACGATAATAATGATGATGATGAAGATCGTTTTATTCACACTGGTACACAATACGATATAACCTCGTTGCAAATACTGATACCCCCCAGTCGGTATCGGGATGTAGTCTAGCCTACGTGTAGCCGCAACCCACTCCCGACAAAGGAAGAAGAGGAGTCAAAGAAANAAAATTTTGTGCTTAATTAAAAAATTTATTTAATTAATAATTTTTTAAATAATTTTTTTTTTTTTTTTTTTTTTTTTTTTTTGAGAAATGGAAATAATTTTTTATACAAATAACTTGCGCATACTGGCTTAAAGTACAACTATCCTTTTATTGCTTGCCTGTCAAGCGGCCGGCCATCTCCTCCGAATTTATGACCGGCAAGCAAAAAGAAACAATGAAATGTCCTTACAACAGTGTCTAAATACAATACTCGAGTACTCCTTCGGAAATATTGGACGGCCAATGAAGCAATCCCATTGCATGGTTGATTTTAGTCACTGGACCGCTTACTTCCTGGTAGTTAACCTTGTGACAGTAAAAGACCATGCCATTTACTGTCACAAGGGTGAGAAATTGAAAACAATGCTTAGCCAAAATTTTGGAGGGACAGCAAAGAGTTAGTAGTATGGTATTTTTGAAAAAGGCCAAACCTACGCAGCGTTACGCGCAACCTCGATGGCCAATCATACGGCTGGCTTTCCCGATAAGCGGAGACGAATACTTTGCAGAGCCGACAAGGCAGCAAACAGAAAGTTCGACTGATGCAACCCTACTAGATTGGCTATTAGAAGATGCAATGGTGGCTTTCTGCTATTGTTGCTCTCATAATATTGAAGACCATTTCAAGTGGTGAAAAAAGATAATAATAATAATATTACTATTATTATTATTATTATTATTATTATTATTATTTTTATGAATCATAGTAATAAGCAAAGGAAAACAAAGTCTTGCGTTCCGAATTCAGTTCGATATTAATATTTATATATTTATAGGGAGTGGTGTCGGGTGAGCGATGAGAATCGACAAGGATCAGACATCGGTTTTTAAGAATCATCTTAAAGCGGAGTTTTTGTCATGCAAAGTGTCAGTGAAATACTAGGAAAACTGTGAGAGGTATAAGCTGTTCCAAAGATGTAAAAAGCTTTTCACTAAAATGAATCACCTGTTTATCATAATAAAATTAAGCCAGTATCAGAGAAACCGCGCGTGTCCCATTGTCAAAGGAAATTGAAGTCTTTGATATTTTTCCGCGAGACCGCGACGTCAAATGTTTAGAGAGCGATGTTATATGGCTAAAGTAACTGATGACGGCAGAGAGAAGTATTCATCTAGTGAAACCATGGCATTATTATGAAACACATTACCTATTTTAATGAAATTAAAAGTTGTGAATTTTCAGTTAAATTTATAGTTCCTTGAAATGTTTCTATGCTTATACAAATTTAAAAAGTCAGCCGCTTGATCAAAGACCTATGTTGCGACTATTACATTAAACTGACAAGGATATTAATAACCGACATTACTAAGTATATTTATATACTCCGGCCATTTAAAGTGCTCCCTGAGTTTACCGAAGATGCATGACTCTTAAGACGTCTTTATCAACTATACTGACTTTCAATTTGCACAACGACTACGGCGGCTTTTCAAATTTATTTTCTAAGAAAACCGCATTCTATAGAGTGTTCTTTCACATGAAAAAAATCCTTGTGATCAAAGCAACCCAAATTATCACCCGGATTATTATCGAACTACTTTCTTGCATTTCACACCTAAAATACTGAGACAAATTCACAAAAAAAAAAACCTATATTAAGGGACGATATCCCAATTTAAGTTCAAATCCAAACTTAAAGATTGCGGCAAAAACATTTCGTAGGTGCGAAAAGAAAGTTAGACTGTTGGCAGCTCCCCCTTTTTTCCGCAATCCGTCAAACGAAACGTGTGTGAGTCAAGTTGATGCGAGCCGTCACAGATCGTCACACCAACGGAGAGTCGCGCCGTTCATATTCACAAATATGAATTCAACAGCAGCCTTAGACACGGCGAGGATAGCTCTTGGATGTGATCCAATAATCCCGCATGGAACTCTCGATCCGAAAAATACCCCAGAAGCTTATGGATGGCTTGTCTTCATTGCCGTCATCAGCGCCATTACTTGTCCACTTACAATTGTTATGAATGCACTGATCATAATCGCTGTTAAGACTAAACCCCGAGTTAAAACCAAGTCAAACATTGCGCTCGCCTGCTTGTCGACTACAGATTTGGCAATGGGAGTAATCGGTCAACCTCTTTTTATATCTGGGGTGATCGCAGAGCTCCAAGGTTACGCCTCCAGTACTTACTGTTTACGAAAAGAATTAGGGGTTCTTGCTATAGCATTGTCAGGTAATGCATCCTTATTTCACATTATCTTGGTGAATGCAGAGAAGTACATTGCCATAAGACGTCCTCTGCAATACGAAACCATGGTCACCGAAGCTCGTTTAATAGGTTCGTCAGCTCTCTTGTGGATAACAGTCCTATTCATACAGTTAATCATGCCTGCTGCTAACATAGATGACCAAACAAACGCTCAGGTTGACGGTAGTGTAGCTTTCTTAAGCATAGCCATCATTTCCTTCTGCCAAGTGATGATTTATGTCGAAACACGTCGTCAGAAGAAAAAGATCGCTGCTCAGAAAGTTTCGTTGGAGGCCAAAGAGAAATTTTTGAAACAGAAAAAAGCTTTTAAAGTGACTGTAACCGTCCTTTGTTTCCTAATATTATGTTTTTTACCCATCACCTTTTCACGAATACTTATGGTTAATTCTGTGGTCAATTCAGTCAATTTATTATTCATTTTTCATTTCACAGGAGTTCTAGTGATAACATTGAATTCGCTTGTTAACCCGATTATCTACTGTGTAAGAATTAGGCAGTTTCGAGTTGCGTTGATTCAACTACTAATCAGAAAAGACCCTGGAAAAGCTGAAAACATTGAAAGGCGATTTTTTGGAAGAGTGAACCACGTGGCGCCGGAAAATTTAGAGTCAAGATTAAGTAGATAAAAGAAAGTGTATCCTGGATACCATATCACTTTCCTCGCGAGCGGATGGGTACTTTGGGGCCTCGGTGGGGGGGCCCGACGCATGTCAGGCCGTAGGCCGGGCCACGAGCGAAACCGGACAGCGCACGTAAAAATGCATTGGCAACCAAGATGGTAAAACCGCAGGTGAATAAAGCTCTTACTACTGACGGGTGTAGAATTAATGTGTATAGCTGTTGATAAGTGATTTTTGTGTTTCAAGCCTGCATGTTAGGTAGCGGGCACCCTCTGGACCAAATGTGTTTTGCACTTAGTGTTGCATCGGGGCCATCAACCGCGTTCCCAGGGCTCTCTCTCTTGCTTCGACACCCAAATGAATATAAGATAAAATTATTTCAAAAGTCGTCTGTGAACAGCGCCCCTCGCTCACATGGCCACCAGCTATGTAAAGTTATAAGGACGTAACGAACTGTTTACATCATAAAAAGTTTCAACTTCTACAATGCGCGGATTAGTTTGGAACACCAAGACCTCACCTATAATGGAGGCACCTGAAAATAATTTGGGAATTTGAGGGGAAGGGGGGTGGGGGAGCGGGGGGAGCAGGTGGAGCAGGTGGGATTCGGAAAATTGTGCATACCTCTGGAAAAATTCTGGCTACGCCCCTGCAAGGGCCTGCGCAGTACTCGTCTCCAGTGTTGAGTTTTGGTTGGCTCTATGTCCAAAACGGCTAGTCGTAAGGCTGTGTGTAATCTAGCAAAGTTTCATGCTACGAAAACTTCACTATATTATGGTCGACAACAGCTGGACTATTCGCGGAGTGGCTCACGTCTTTGCCAAGCACAGTCTAAAAAATAAATAAATATAAAAATGAATAAATAAATAAAAATCAGCAATGAATAATAGTAGCGAAATATATTTTCGTAGTTAACGTTTTATTTAACGGGTAAACCTGAGTAATGGCTGAGTCGGTGTAAATGTGTTTAAGTTATCAATAGTTGTTTCTTTTTCATTGTAAACGACTCCTGGCGATAACGAATTAAAAATATAATTGTTGTTGTAACTTGAGCAACACAACGGTCAATTGCAGGAAGTCAGACGCAAAAAGAAGAAAGGTCAGAAGAGGGCAGAAAAACACTTTACCCCTCTTCCCAGTTCCCTCGCGTTTTCCCCCTCCCACACACATTTCGCGACGCCTTCCATTGCATGCAAACGAGATCACTAGATTCATGGTCATTGTAATCAAGTTAAGGTCATTCGTCATGTGTTCTAAATAGAGCCTTCCATGTTTTTTTTTTCAAGGTTTGATAAAGACCAGGAAATGAATATTCATCGTCACTGCTGGAAAGAGCGCCTCGGAATTAGGACAAGTACAAGGGCGCTTTCCATTTGTCAGAACTAACCTGTACCAGCCTGCCCATTTCCATCGTAATGAAATTTCACTTTTAAGCAATAATAGTAATAGTTTTGTAATAGTTTTAGTTCATATCAGTTCGTAAAACAGGAAGTCCGCCTTCTTTATTCTTTACATCTGCTTAGAATAAAGCGGAGATCGTCTAAAAGCTCTACAGAGCTTGCTTGATCTCCTGCCTTGTAGTAATGTAATAGGTTATATGTGTACAAATGAATGAATGGTAAATAAAGGCACTTCTTCTTACTGGAAGCAAACCTAACCATTCAGATCAGTCAAATCCTAAACATTTTATTACCTCATTTCATCCCGCCAGGGAGACTGGCACTACCGGATTTTCCCGGACTTTTTAAATTCCGGACTCAAAATGGCTTCCAAAATAGAGGGTAAAGAGGTAAAGCAAAGGTCATTGCGTGTAGTTGAAACAATGTACTCCAGGAAGTTAATATTCTACAGCTAAGAAGAACAGTTGTTTTACTGCTTTAAAAAACTTCGATTAAAAATTTCGAGAAAAGAAAGAGCTTATCGGAGACTTTCGCTACTTGGAAGTATTGGAAGGATTCCCGAATTGTTCGACAAAAAATTTGAACAAAGAACCGTCGCGTTTAGCTTTTTTTGCGGCGATGGATCCGACCGAATATTGGATGATAAGGGAGTGGGTGTACCTGTTTTTACAAACCGTAAAATAAAGACTACCAAAAAGCGAAACAAGCCAGAGTGACCCTGAGTAAAAGGGCAATATCGTCTTAGGTCAGCAAGGCTTGCATTAGGTTTTCTCTCCCTCGCTGCGTACGGTCCCAGTAAAAAATTCTAAAGATCTGACCAGAGACAATTCTCACTGAACATAGATAAAAGCAAGTATACTTCAGTCCTACAAGAGAGGGATTTCTCGTCCGGTAACACTGCAGTTCCTGTGACCAGACCTCATGCATTGAGCAATGATAAAATACGCAAGTAATTTTTCTTGGGAGATAAATTGTGTTTCATTGAGGCCCCTAAGTGTGATTCTGTACCTTCCAATTACATTGAAATTTTAGTAAATTAGACACTACTCAAAACATGTATAAATTCATTGATAAAATGTCAGTTGGCAATGGGTTACAGAGGATCGCTCGTTGAGCTTATTGGGTCTACGAGCATTAATTTACAATTTGGACAATTACCTTGTAATCCAGTCAAGAATGTCGCGTACATCTGTTTAGCATACACTGAGTATAGACTCGTCCCTTATTCTCCTGCATGTGATTTAAGAACACTAGGTTTAACATACACAACGCCCCAACGTTCACTACGCTCAGTACCTTTCACGGACATTTCTCTCTTCTGCGACGGGAATAATCCAGGTAAGCCCTTCTGTACTGCCCTTTTAAGTTTTGTTCCAGCATACTTAGGTTACGATCGGTACTATACGTACCCAATCACACCTGTGTTCTTGCCTGCAATGATCCTCTGCTAAACAGACGCAGGTAGAATTAAACAGAGGATCCTTTGCTGTAGAAAATTTATAATCATCTTGATCTTTGGTTCGAGCGACCTGCTCATCGAGCAATTGTTTGCACTTGCTGAGTTGTGGGCTCCTTAGCTTCAGGACAGGACAGAAATACTACATCCTTTCCTTACTAAGTTGAGGCTGATTCTCCGAGGAAATATTGATCAATATTTCTTCGAAAAAGAATGCTTTCGTTCGAGTTTTTACTCTGACTATCCTCTGACTAATAATCCGCCATTTTAAAACTGGACTTTGTAAAAAGTCCAGGAAATCCGGTAGTGCCAGGGCCCCGCGCGGTATGAAATAACTAAGGACTAAGTACAGTCGACTCCCGATAGGGAAATCGAAAAAAGTTCGAGTTATCGGGAGTTCGACTTATCGGGAGCTCGAAGAAAATAGCCGAGAGTAAGGTAAAAAACAGTTTTTACTGCACAGTGAACATTCCAGTCACATTTAATTGTAGAAATGTCAAGTGAAAATTAAAAGATACTTCTAGATCATAAATCAGAACGTAACGTAACAAAATATAGCCTAAATAGAGCATGCGTTTTACTGTTTTGAGAAGTAAAGCTGCTTCACGTTAGCCTGTGACAATCAACATCAGCCTCCTCTGATCTAATAAACTATACTCCTACAACACGTCAATAGGAAATCCAAAATTCAATGTTTCGCACGCCAGTAGACGGCTTTTTTCTCGACTTTTTTAGGGCTCAAAACATGGTTCGAGTTAACGAGGGTAAAATTATATAGAAAATGATCTGGGGGGAAACGAAAATTGGTTCGAGTTAGCGGGAGTTCGAGTTATCGAGGGTTCGAGTTACCGAGTGTAAGACTACAGTGAATGTATGAGGGAAATCCAGGGGAAATCGATTTTGCTTCGAGTTTGCGAGGGTCGATTTATCGGGAGTCGACTGTAGATGGTTTTTCAGTAAAACCTCTTGGACCTCTTAGAAAACAGCCTGGTCCGGCCGGCCAGTCAGCGCCCCTAGGAATTGTGGTCCATGACGTCAGATAGTAGTGCCTAATTAAGTCAAAAGTCACGCCATTCCCAGGCCTTTAGAAACGATCCCCTTCCTCTCCCCATTCTCCTTTTCGTTCAAAACGACAGTGAAGGCTACAGGGCGCCGGATGGGCGTCGTTTTTGGCGCTTTATTCAAAATGGAACTCTTGAACGGCTTCTCAAAAACATTAAAAACTGTTCTTATCGTATACACTTCACGATTCAGCTGTTCATGAAAATGATCTAGCAGTTAGCCGATACATATAAAATCCCTAATCACAGGGATCAAAGCATGTGACAAATCGTGACGGATGCGTGACGTACCTGACATGCTCGCCGGACATCTCCATGCAGCTCGAAGCGCAGTTCGTAAGCTTCAAGTTCTTTTTTTATTTTTCAGAGGGCTGTAACGCTAGTTGAAGCAGGAAATAGACTGATTTCTTCTTCATGAATCGAACAGAAAACTCTGCATTATGGCTGCACTTTTGAAGGTGGGACGCAAAATCAATAATTTTAAGTTTCTATTTTACACGTAGTATTTTATTATTGTAACAATTTGGTTCAAAATAACACTTTAAGCTTAAATGTTATTTTTTTTAAAGCTTAATATCAATTTAATTCATGTCAAGTATTTATTAAACCATATTTAATTTACTCTAGAAAGTAATTAAAAATGATAACACAACCCTTTCATGTAAATTCAAGATCGAACATACAGTAATTATAACTAGACTCTGCCTGGACCTTTTGGCATTTGTGACAATTGCAGTATGTTGTGGTTCTGAAGTCATTTCCCCCTTTTGAGGGAATTTAGGGGAATCAACCCACAGATGTTAGGTTTGAAAATGAAAAAATAAATATATAAATGAAATAATAACGTGTGTTTTGAATTTTGACCAGTGACATAAGAACATATGACCTACTCTCAATTCAGCAGTTTGAATGACTGGATATGGATATTGAATTAAACTTGAAGGAAGAGCCGGGGAAATGCCATTTATACACACTATTTCGAGAAAGGTTGTCGCAAAAAAATTGCACCTAACAATTCCAAAAGGTAATATATGGGATATGATCAATGCACTGTCCCTGACACCGAAACTGTCAAACCTACTTTCACTTTGCACAGTGGAAATCTGTTGATGTCCAATCAAACCTGATCATTAGAGGAGAGAGATACACTTTTATCAACCGTGTAAGTTACAGTAGAACCTCGATAACTCGAACTCGGATAACTCAAATTCCCTGCTAACTCAAACTGTTTTGCATTTCGCTTATTAATAAGAGTTCATGTTCCCGAGGTTCCACTGTATATTGTTTAGGTTGGGTTATTTAAAAATATTTGCTGAATCGTTTGCCTTCACAGGTTAATAGCAAAGTTCTGACGGGCGATATTGCAGACCAGACCAGCTGGATTAAAAAGGTACAGGCTGAAGTCAATGCTCCTATGCTGAGAATTATGGCTGCAGCATTTAGAAGTGTTTATAGTTCTACCACTGGACTTATAGTTATACCAACTGCACAACAAGATGGAGTAGTGTATAGTATACATTGGCGAAATGCGAAGGTGCATGTATGAGTGGATTAAGGAGCATGATAGGGATATAGACGGCTTTCAAGAACTCAAACTTCAGCCATCTCTGAACATGCCAATAAGACCAGGCATCATCCGCTCTGGGATGAGGTTAAGTTTATTGACTAACACCCTCACTGGTACTATCGTAGAGTCTTATTCATATAAGACTTCACCTTAACAATATCAACAGGGACAATGGAATTGACATTCCTGAAGCACGCATGCCTATGATTAGACAGCATAGCATCCAATCGTTACCACGACGGACTGCTCAGGGAACAGTTTCCTCCTCTAATAATACCAACAATGCTTTGGATTAAAATCCACCGACCATGAGTGAGGTTCATGATACACCAGTCACTAACAACCATGTGATGGTGGTACAAATAGTTCTACTCAGTAAATCGACATATTGCCTAGCTGATTGAGACCTGCAGTATGCTGTCGAAGCGTCGGGATCAGTATCTATGTGACAATCGTGAGACAAATGATTAACAAAACCAGTTAATTACTACTTGGTTAATACAATGTATCTGATTAACATCTGATATCATTATAACCCCGCCGATCAAAAAAATAATGAAAATCATTTCTTTTCAGACAGGGGCAAGGGCACATTTGAGAGCCATTGGTTTCAAGGTAAATATTTATGTTTAAGGTATCACCACTGGGGTGTGGCAAACATGCTGCCCAACAACCTGGAGTAAGTGGAGCAACCTGTTGGGCTCGTTTTTGTTTTTGTTGTTGTTGTTGTTTTTAAATTACGAGTTGTGAAATTACAATAATTTTGGTAATTGAAATTGACAAGTTGTCAGACATGCAAGGAACATTTGCTGAGAGAAAGAATATGTTAGTGGAAAAGGGGGTTTGGTATCTCCATACAACTGCTTCAGGTCCTTAATTTTCAACAATATTTTGCCTGCATTTCTGTTTTTGTTTGATTGTTTTTTTTTGGTGAGTGAAATCACAAAGTATGTAACTGATGCATTAGAATAATTATTATTGGCGGTCAGCTTCTTTTAAACAGCCAGACCTTCAGATGCTGTGAATGATTTATCCCCCATTAATATTTTTAGACAAGTTTAAGTTTATTATAATGAAGCCCATTTCATTTTTTATGGGAAATTTATTGTTACACCTGTATGTGAATGGATGGGATTTGAGCATACAGTGTACTGTGCAAAATCACACTGTCCAGCTCATTGGGTAGAATATGGAAATCAATACAGTTAAATAGAATAATGTAGGCTACAGCCGCTAGTAGGTCATTATGCATTTTAAAACCAGTGATCTAGTTTTTTTCTTTCTTTCTTTCATTGTTAGCAAGTTTATTTCTCTTATCGTTTTTAGGATGAAGATTTTACAAAACCACTTATAACAATAGCATGCCCTTACATCAATGTTATACCATGTAACTTCCACTTCAGGTAAAAATTCTTTATTAATTAACTTTTGATTATGGTTTTAATAATGATATCGATATTAATGATGGTAATGATAATGATAATTAACATTTTTTTTAGATCAAGTTGAATAGTGGCAGAGAAAATATATCAAGCCACAAAGCAGCAAGTTATTACTGTTAATATCCAAGGCCACAATTCACCATGTGATCTCATTTGAATAATAATTAATTTAAAAGAAAATATTGACCGTTCAGTTCTGGCGGGCTCTATATTTCATTAACAAGGATCAAACCAAGCTTTTAAAGCAGCTTGTTCCTGTGAGTGCCAAATAAAGATGGACTGATTTGAAACAAAATGTCCAAATCCATGCTGTGCAGTGTAAAACTAAAGGAGTCCAGATAAGATATTAATAAAAATCTGTAGCTTTTAGTTTAAGGTTTCCTTTAAAAATTTAGAGGAAAGCACCTGTACGAGTGACAGAATGTAATGTATCATTGCAGGGAGCTTGCAGATCATGTGATCAAAGCTGTTGAGGAACAGGGAGGTATGACATTCCTCTGTAAGTGAAAAGCGAAACTATCAGCAAAATCATAATTTTAAAATCAATTGTTGATGCAATTGATTTTTCTCTTGGAAACGGCACAATAAAGAATGTGCAAATGTCCAAAAGTAGTGAAAAAACTTTTTTTCATTTTTTTTCTCTCTTTTTTAACTTTTTTAACAACTCCACAAACAGTAGGATATAGTATTCACAACAGTAGTGAGCTGATACATATACACAATCCAAGCTAAGATCTATTAAAGACTTTGGCACAAGTTAAGGAGTTTCCTACCTTGCCTTTCAGGGAAAGCTGTTCTGAGTTGTACACCTGTCATAAGTGATGCAATGACCATGGTAATGGACTAATTACTCATGCTTGAAATGGGCCAGTTTCAAATTAATCCAATTTCAAATTAAAATAATTAGTCTCAACAATCCACTTTCAAATTAAAATAATTAGCCTCAACAAATTTTACACCTGAGTCCACAATAATATGTGACACTGGTCAGTGGATACCTTCTTTTTGGCAGCTGTCATTGATCATAACATGGATGTCCAATATCAAGTTCAACACAATTTTACAAATGTCTACTAAAATCTTAACAACCCCTATTTGCCTACCTTTTTGACCTTGAAGCTTTGCAAAGCACTGTATTTGAATTTTCCGTTTGATTTGAAGTGAGTATTCAGAAAATAATATTGTAAGGCCCATAGCGAGGTGACTAGTAATCTTGTTTTGTTTAAATTATTGTTTAGGGAACTAGTGGTATGAAATATTCTCTGATATCAAGAGACTGGATCACAGATTGCATCGAAATAACACATTCTGGTTACACAGGGGTGAGATAAATAAATAAAAAAAGTATTGTTATTTTTATCCTCTTTATCAATAACAAATTGGTCTTTTTTTTTCTCTCACAATTTTGTACTGATAAATCTTCAAATTTGCTGTGACAAATTCTAATATTGTATTCTCTCGACAAGAGAGAGCGAACGACAAGAAAGAAAATATAGAAAGGAGGTATTAACCAGGGGCCTCTATCGCCAAATTATTGCTTCAATACCTGTGTTTTTTTCTACTCAGGATGGTATGATCTGCCTGGCTGGTTGTGACAAGACAATACCTGGTGTAACAATGGCTCTGCCAAGACTCAATGCGGTGAGTTTAGATACTGCCTCACTGGAAGGTCATGAGTCTGTTGAGATGACCAGATTAAAAGTGTCCCAAATAGCTGTTACGCATGGAATTGCCAGGCGTGAAACTACTTACTTTGCTATATCATTTATTCAGAGATAATCAACATTGTCGGCTTATGCCAGGCTCTGGTCAGTGCATAACTCAGAACGAAAAACCCTCGCGAACACACCAGCGCCCATGCGGTTTTTGTGCATTTTTTTTCCACCCGCTTTCCCACTATCTTAGAGTATGGAACAGGTTAAATCAACCATAAATAGAGTGACCAAAATAAACCATAAATAGAGTGACCAAAATTGTCCGTTCGCTGCTCTGTCTTTTTGCTTTAAACGCGGTTCTTATGCACCTATCAGTGTAAACCTCGTGAGGGGGGAGTGCGGGCAAGGGGTGGGGATTTGACAAATTTTGAAATTTTTTTATCAAATTCCCCAGGGTGGGAAACGAAAGGTTGATCAAAAGTGTCAAAAAAGCCCCCACCCCAGGGGAAAAAATCTATAACACTATATAAAACAAATTAAAGGAATATTTCAAAAGTACGTTCTTACTACTTTTATTTATGGTTAACGTAAGCTCCGTTAAATTACTCGCTGTAATTTAGTATTTTCTCTCTCCACTAGCATCTCCTATTTTGAACAACAAATCACTCCGGGAAGATTGACTGTGCTATTATAATATTAATGAAACAACAACATAAACAATAACATCTGCTCAACATGTCGGAACAGGTCGGATCAGTGATCCATAAAAAATCCTCTGACTTTCATGGTGGAATTCGATTTCAATCGAGTTTTACAATCAGATGGAAACTTGAAGATAAAACCTTTCTCAAAATAGACATTAGTAACTTCATAACTTTCTCCAATAGCGTGACTTTCAGAAAGCCTCGAGGGACGGACTTGGTAACCGCTTGTAAATTGATACCAGGCTTCTGTCGGTCAAAGTCAAATATCCCGACCCCGGGGTCGCTTCGCACGATCAAAAGCCAGACAGGGGGATAGTCTCAGGCATCAAATCCCCGCCCCTTGCCTTGCTTCGACATGTCATGCTCTTAACACTAAATACCGATAGGTTCGCTGAAAATAAACTTCGACATTTGGAAAAAATAAGAAAAAAAGGCAGAAAAGTTTCACAAGCAACAGTCATTTCTTTGAATATGGCGGAGTAAAGGTTAATAGAAAATTTATGTCCATGAAAGTCCTTTTCATTTGTGTGTACTTGGGAGTTTTTAAAGATAATTGGTAGCTATTTCGTTGGTGGCGAGATGACCGGATATCGTTGCCGGTACTCATTTATTCACTTGGATGGAGAGAGAAAAAATGGAACAAGGTTTCTTATCTAAGGAAATAGCGCGACGGCAAGGCTTAAACCTAAACCTTCCGCTGATCTAAATTCACGTTGTAGTTAGTCACCTTTCCTGCAGCACATGTGCGTGGTTCTAGTAGACTTTAACCCTTTAAACCCTGAAGTCTCATTTGTTATCCCTATCATTTTTAGTGGAAGTAGTGGGGAGAATTTTGTTGATGTATCAGTTAGATTCATCTTGTGTGATCATGTCCTTAATTCTCATGACCACTGTGTTTTATTATGCAGTGATATCACAAGGAGAAATTTGACGCTGATCACTCTTGGGACTTAAAGGGTTAAGGATCTTTAAAAAAGGAAATTTCTTGTTGCTGTTTGTTGTTATTATTACTATTTTGTTGTTGTTATTGTTTTTTAAATAATATTTTGATCATGAGGCACCTCTGAAAGTAAAGGAGTGATCGATAAGCCTTACTTCTTATCCTCTGCTCAACAGTGTGGTATAGTAGTTTATGGTGGGACCATGCTACCTGGTTGCGGAAAGAAACATAAGAATTTAAGTGCAGGGAGTCCATTTGAGGTAACTTCATGGCATATACTAAGCAGTATTATTAAAAACTGAATAATTGGATAATGCAATTCTAGAGCTCCGATTGGCTTAGCCATCATGGTATATTGGCCATTATACCCGGCATGCCCTCCGAATATGTCAACTGTACGCGTCTGCTCAAAATTAAAAACAAGGTGAAAATCGGTTGTTTTTACAAATAAAGTTGGAAAGAATTCTCGATATTTTGTCGTCGTTTTTAATAAAACAATTATTCCACTCGCGCTTGTTGGATATGAGATGATTATAGCCAACTCATATCCAACGCGCACTCTTGGAATAATTGTTAATTACGAGCTTCCATGTCAGTTCAAGTGCATGCTTAACCACGTTCCATACAGTGTACTCAGGGCTCGCAAAAAACTTTACGTTTACCTTGCCTTTTGGGCGAGTAGCACTCGCATTTTGAACCCGGGCCACTCGCTCGTCCTACAGTAGTTATTAGGGACCTTAAGCAAGGACGACGACGACAGCAGTGAAAACGTCGGTAAAAAAATGAATTTGCGTTCTTTCAAATTTAATCGCGTCTATTTGGACCCGCGCAATATGTCAAATGCAGGCGACATTTCCTGAAGTTGAATTCTTAAGGGATTTTATTCAGGTTCAAAGACAGGAAGAAAAATTTGTCGTGGTATGTTCACGCCCTC